CCCCAAATTTTTTTCTTTCTTAAAACTTTTTTTTTTTTTTGCTTTGTTTATTTAAGATATTTTTTGTTCTTTTGAGCATTTGTATGTTTCAGTTTTTTTTTTTTTTTTTAAATAAAAATCTCTTTTTTAAGGTAGGATTTTCTAAAGATGGTTAGAGATAAGAAAAAAGTCACAACAGGACACAAAAAGATATAGCACAAAAACATAATGTGCAAAGTAAAAGAAAAGGAAGTGACAAGGCGAATGTTTACTTGAAGTGCAACTACTGCAATAAGATGGTTAAAAAGGGTATTACAAGAATGAAAGAGCATATTTCTGGCTCTCATAAGAATATTGCTCTATATGTCAAGGTGCTTGAGGAGCCAAAAGAGCAGATTTCGGCATATATGAACAAGGTAATAACGTCAATGCATTTAGTGCAACAACAGTTTCATGACAAAGTAAATGTATGATCATAGCCCCCAAAGGTTTGATAGAAAGTTGGAGCTTCAGCTTCACTGTCATTTGCATGCCACAGAATATAATCTTAATCTACAATTTTAGTACTAGGACCAAATTTGGCTTATATCACGATAGGAATGGATTGATAGCAGACTTAACTGGAATGGTGAAGGTTAATTTATAAATATTCTAAGAAAAAAAAGATATCATCTCTAGACAACATGAAGATAACTATACAATTGCAAAATACTCCCCAAGTAATTTTAACATTTATCGGTTAATATTCCAACAAGTATGTTATTTTAATTGTGTATTTTTTCAAATTTAGTTAAATAGTAGGTTCAATTGGATGATGTCACTTCATAGCTACAGCAATTTACTATTAAAGCATTAGGCTTAAATTCCTATCATCTAGTTGTAAATGAAATTGAAGTAAATAAAATCGAATCTACACAAAATAAAAAAAAATTCAATCACCTTAACAACGAACTCCTTGATTTGTATTATGCACAGCAGAATATGAAGGAATAGATATTTAAGGAAAAGAATTTAGACGATGAAGAACACAAGTTAGTTTGTAGTGATGTGCAATAAAATAAATAATGGTTTGTTGATGATGATGATAGATGATACCAGAGTTAACCCAAAATCGCAACAGAATAATACTTTCATTGTTGAAAAGTAAAAGGGGTTACAAACAAGACACTTGAAATCAGGAAAACAAAGATAAGACACAAAACTAGGGCGTAGATAGGCGAGGTGTTGCTACGGCAAAAGGAATTGGACTAGGTGAGGGAGGAAGGTTAGTTGTAGTAGTAAGGAGGAAGAAGGGCTGACCATTTGGGATTGCAGCTAGGATTGGGAGGGTTGTAAGGAGGCGTGTGGGTTGGGAGTGTTGGATGGGGCTGACAGTAATATCTGGTGAGGTTGGGGGATTTTAGCAGTGGTTGCAGGAGCTAGGGTGAGGCTATCGGCAGAGAAGTAGGGACATAAGGAGTTTAGCGGCGGCTGGAGAAAGGGAATAGGTTGGTGGTAGAATCACAGGAAGGATGAGGGTGACGAGGGGCAAGCGGCAAACCAGAGAGGTGTCTGGAGGGATGCGGCAAGAATAAGAAGGTTGTAGAAGCATTGGTAGCAAGCAAGAAATGACAGATACACACCACCTCGGGACAAGTTTCAGCCAAAGCACATTCTCGCTGTCAGATAAAAATAAAAGAGAAACATCAAATGCTATGTGGACAGAAATCTTAAAGCAAAAACTATACTCAAACAAAAATAAAATAACACATATATAGTAGAAGATAAATAGGAGAGGGAAGACCCCTCCCTTGGGCAAAAACCCTAGACCAAACCAAAGGGTTGGTCGGCCCCCTTGTGGCTCCCCTATTGAACCGGTTCAAGCCTAGATGAGCTCCACGTCAATAGAGTTAAACAATCAGATTTGCAACAAAAGACCTCAATGTTGACTTTTTCAATGAAGATAAAAGGAAGAACAACATGCCTAACATAAGTCCACCATTAAATAATAGAAAATTTTCTATTAAAATTTTAGAGAATGATGAACATCAATTAGTTTGTAATACATACCATCAAATAAAGAATGATTTGTGGATGATGACAAACGAGTTAAACATTAATATTTGCAATAAAAGAACTAAATGTTGATTTTTTTTAAAACCAACATGCCTAACGCAATTCTAATAAATTAATAGAAAAAGCTTCCATTAAAATTTATGCCTTTGAAGTTGTAACACTCAACATAGTCATTTTTTTAAACTTTAATTAATATTCTTATTAGTCTTTATTGATTAAAGAAGAAGAAAATGATTAAGATTAAAAATAAGAAGAAGGTTATAAAGAATAGTGATATAATTGAGGATGAAACTTAAGACAAATCAAATCATTATGACAATAATTCTAGGAAAAACTCGCTGAGTGGTAAGAATGTTAGGGATTTCTAAATTTAAAAATTCTAACCTTAATAGATTGTCATGTTCTTACTTTGATGGGAGATTTGGAAAGAGAGCTATAATAGTAAACTTATTTTGAATTATTATATTCTTATTTTGATATACTATTTACTTTGATGTTTGTATGACACATCTTACTACATGATTCAATGTTATGATCTTAATATGTCACTCCTTGTTTCATGCTTTGATGTTAGTATAATTTCTTACGCCTCGCCCCACGGATAAAAATGGTACACTAGCTAATTGGGCAATTTTATGCCTTGAATTATATTTAATTTTTTTCTTTTTGAAGAGGACCTTGGTATTTACTTTTTTTGGAGACAATTACATCTTAATAACTAGGTCCAAGATCTTTGCCCATTCATCTTGGTTTTCATTATTTCATATCTATTATTAATTACTATAATAAGCTTACTAGGATGTGTTTAGTAAATTTTCAATCCTAAGTGTTTGTTGCATTCAAATAATTTATCAAAATAGATGGATTCAATTTTCCGCTTCACTTCAATTTTTCCATTTCATTAATGCCTTGAAATAAATGAAATCTACCTTTCGCTCTTCTTGTGTTGAAATTGGTATTACATATCAATCATCATGTACTTATACCAACTAACAAAGTGTTGCGATTTAACTTAAGTATCGACATCTCCATAGTAATGCTCGGACCTTGTTTGGTACGAATTTTCCTAAAAAAAATTGGGGAGTAACCATTCTCACAGCCTATCTTAATGTATATCCAATTTCCCTTTTAAATCCACACAACTCTATTTTCTCCTAAGTAGTTTTTTTTTTATTAGATTTGTTTTAGCTAAACTCTTTATCCAAGATGTGATAAACTCTCGTCATGTCATTAAATGTATCTTCCAGACTTATTCTAATATTCAAAAGGGTTATTGTTGTCATGATCCATCTACACATCACCTTTATATATTTGTGGATGTTAACTTTCATGAAATAGCTTCCTACAACCCCCCCCCCCCCCCCCCCCCTCCCTTTCCAGCCAATCCATCCCCCCCACCCCCCCCCCTGCCTTTACTAAAAAAGTTTTTCTAAGTATTCAACATCTACATCTTACTTAGGTAATTGCTCCTTCTCTGCCATAAATTTATACTCATTGCCTTATTTGCCTCCTTCCGATGAACCTCCTTTCATCCCATCTATCATCTATCTACATCAAAAATCTCATATCACTATCTCCTAATCACTTTCTAAAAACATAAATGACATTATGCTAATCATTTGACATAGTCATATCCATAAGTATCAATTGGCTTTTATTTAATTGATTTTCTTTTCCTCTCACATCAGCTATACTCTCAAGGCTTATCAGAAAGCACTATTCAATGCCACAAAAAAGTAATGCAGAAGATGTTGAAACGGGGACTCTTCTTCATTTTCACACTTGGACATAATCACTCCCTGCAAAATTAAAATCAATTGCATGGTTAATGAGACTACTAACCACTACAAGGGAGTTTTTGGTTACAGAAAGGATTTAGATTTAGTAGGATTTAGAAAATCCGGAAATAGTAAGTCCAACCCCTCGTTGTATTTATTAAATCCGGATTTAATATTAATCAAAGAAAAAATTCGGACCTTAAATCCAAAATTTCAGAAATCCATAGAACCTACATTTTTTTATGTTTGGCTGGATTTAGTAAATTCGATGAATAAATCCTATTAATAAGGCACTACCAAACACCCCCAAGGCTCGATAGGCTAAAGAATACAGACAAGTCTATGGGCGTTAACTATGTTTAAGGCATTTTCCTCATTTGCTAAGCTTAACTCTGTTCTCCTTTATTCTGTAGCCAATAATCAAAACTATTTTAAGGGCTTTTCGTAAACATATGTAGCTCGATAATGTTTAGAATATATAAAGAAAATGGACAAAAAGGTTATATCAAAGAGTCATCAAAAGTTTTCAGATTCTAAGAAACTGTTTAAATATCAATTTGGATACTTGGCATTGCAATCACATAAGCGGGAATCTTATAGGCTACTCCAACTTTATATGGATTATTTGATAAATGACGGTGAGAAATATATACGGCCAATGGAGAAAAAGTTCAGCCCATGCTTTGTGTCTCTAATATCTCTAAATACCTAAACCTTAACTCACCATAATGTAGGTCTTCAAAATCTTTGCGACGGCAACACGGAAAACCCTAATGATAGGCAAACCAGCCATGCATGCTGCCGAAAAATCATCTAAAACAAATTAAGAAACTAGTAAAACCAAAGAAAATGAGCGGCTAGGTATAGCAGGAACTAATCCAAAAATACAAACATAAAGCATCCGCGGTCACAATGACGTAATCATTCGAATATGCCCAAACTGGCACAACATGAGCACAAAGAAAGCATCAATTATAAAATGATTCTCTTTATAATATCGCATTATTGCTAAGCCTTTCCCAATATCCAATTTCAAATTGATTTCAACTAAAAGAAACAATTCACAACCATATCGCCGAACAAAACAATAAGCTGAAGCAACTGATAACGGAAAAGAGAAGGAAAAGAATGCGAAGTTGTTGAATGAGTAGGAGATGGAGGAAGAGAAAGAGATCAGAGAAGACTAACCAGGCAGCCGCTAATATTTTAAGTGACCGGAGAGGATGAAGTGTTTCCCCCAATATTCACCAGCGCTTCCAGGGCTTTCTCCGGATCCCTACGCGATGGAAGATTCCCGACGATCTGATCAATTTGGAAGATGATGGGCAACGAGATGGGGTTTTAGATCAAAGCTTGGAGAAGTTTGAGGTGCCGCGCCGCGAGGAAGGGGAACTTGCGTGTATCTAGTTTTCCGCTCTGGCAGGTTTCTAAATTCTAAAGTTAGCCCACACGCGGACCGGTTTTGATTGATCTCGACCGGTTTGGGCTCCTTTAGGTAGTTTTTGTTCGAATTTTTCATTAACAGTGAGTTGAAGATTTGGCTTCAATTTATAGGATTCAAATGAATTTTAATTCGAACATATTCAACATCTTTTTCTCAAATTAATTAATAATAAAGAATATATATATATA